ACAAAGCCAGAGAGCGCGCGACTCCCCTGGGTTACTGGACTACAACTCCCAGAATTCCCCGGCTCCGCCTACAAAGCCAGAGAGCGCGCGACTCCACCGGGTTGCTGGACTACACTTCCCAGAATTCCCCGGGTCCACCGGCCAAAGCCAGTTACCGCGACTCCACGGGGTGACTGGACTACACGTCCCAGAAGACCGCGAAGGGCGCCCGAGCCAGAGTGCTTGCAAAGTCCAGGGAGCGTTTGCACTACACTTCCTTGAATGCTGAAGGGAAAAAGTCCAGAATCTCACCCTTTAAGGAGGAAGTATTTGGACTACACCGAGCTCCTTTACTGCACTTCCCGCAATGCCCAAGGGGAACTAATCCCACAGCCCCGAGCGCCTGGCCAGGAATGTGGACTGTTAAATTGAGAGGCGTCCTTATCTCCTCGAGCGAAAATATTGTATAGACGCTACTTCCTGAAGCCTACATGCCTCCGATTATGACAGTATTATTGGAAAGGGAACAAGCGAGGAGATACGATCAGTACTGGGGACTAATGGAGGGAGGGCAGGGATTCGGAGTGACATGGTCTAATACATGACCATTAGAGAACGACAGTATCCCTTGATATTTCACATGAATGCTAGGATGGATTTTTTCATTTCTGCAAAAACTACCATTGTTATTTTTTTTTTTTAAAAAAGGGGCAGGGTCTTGCTCTATTGCCCAGGCTGGAGTTCAGTCGTGTGATCATAGCTCACCGTAACCTTGAACTCCTGGGCTCAAGCCATCCTCCTGCCTCTAGTCTCCTGAGTAGCTGGAACTACAGGTACATGCCACCATGCCCAGCTAGTTTTTAAATTTTTGTATAAATGGGGTCTCACTATCTTGCCCAGGGTGTTTTTGAATTCCTGGGCTCAAGTGATCCTTCCGCCTCAGCCTCCCAAAGTGCTGAGATTACAAACATGAGCTACCATACCTGGCCCAAGAAAGAACTGATTTATCATTTTTGAAGGACAGTTTTGCTAAATGCAGAATTCTCAGTACACAGGATCCGCTCCCCCCCGCCCAACCCCCAGCACTTAACGAATATATCACATGGCCTTCGAGGTTTGCTGAGAAACCTGCTGAAAATCTTACTTAGGATCCTTTGTACATGACAAGTCACTTTCATCTTGCTGCTTTCAAGATTGTCTTTCAAGAGATGAATTGTAATGTATCTCAGAGTGGGTATCTTTGGGTTTATCCTACTTGAAGTTCATTGACCTTTCTGGATTTGAGATCCAGATGTTTCTCAAACTTGAATTTTCACCCCTTATTTCTTTAAGTAAGCTCTGTCCCTTTCTTTCTCCATTTGAGGCTTCTATAATGTATATATTGGTCCAACTGATGATGTCCACAATGTCCCTTAGGTTCTGTTCACTTTTATTTATTTCCTTTCCTTCTGCTGCTGAGACACAATAATTTCATGACTTACCTTCATGTTCACTCACTCTGAAGGTAACCTAAAGGAATAGGGGCCATCAGCCTTAGGGGCACTTGCCTGTGGCTTCGAGTGCTGCTCAAACCCAGTCACATATACACCACTTCCAAAGGGAATGCTGACGTGCACACACAGCTTAAATAAATGGAGGGGCCAGCAACACCCAATTTATGATGCAAAACTCAGACCACGTGCTAATTTGGTAGCCCATGGTTAAGTGCTCTGTCTCTGCCAAGACCACTAGCAAAACCAAAAGCTGCATCTCAAAAGGAGAGTAAGTATACATAGAAGATAGCAGGACTTTGCTTCAAAACCCTATGCACCTGTGTCCTGATTGACCAGCTGGAACCAGCCAAAAGCTCCAAACATCACTTTGTCAACGACATTTCAATCACTTTTGCATCTCTTGGATCACAGGGTCCAAGTGGCAGAGATTATATGGCAGCTGGGATACACTGCACAGTTTTATCTGAGTCAATATTTTCAGGTCTCTCAAAAAAAGGCAGAGTAGACACCTCAGCAAAGACTGAGTAGCATCCAATAGCACAGAAAGCCCACTAGGCGTTGTGACACTTTTCTTCTGTTTGAAGGAGGGGCCAGATGGTACTTGCCCTATACTTTAGAAGAGATATCTCAATGGGCCCACATCTGTGAACCTGTGGAAATCTCACCAAAGGGGAAGGCCAATGAAAATTCATAACATGCATGTGTCTTACATATTTGCCTAGATTAGTTCCTAGTTCCTCCTCACCAGGTCCAATCATCATAATATCCATGTGCCATTTGACAATAAGGATTCTCATTGCCAAAAAGTGTGACTATTTCTCCTGTTTAATACAGTCACTTGGGTTCATGTCCATATATCCCTGTGGAGAATGCTACAGGATAGCAGAGTCCATTGTCATCTAGAACTGACCTTCCCTTTATCAAAAAGATTGTGGATTTGTAAACTGGACAGGTCTTGGAACTTATTTGGGGGCTTTAGCTGTGTTAGGTGAGTCCAGTTAGACTTCTGATCCATTGCAATAGGATTCCTTTGACTATACAAATCAAGTAAGTTTAATAGGCTTCCCATCAATTTATTTACTATGAATGCCAAAATCAACACGGCAAGGTTAAGAAGCCATGCACAATGACTGCAGCTTTCAGGTTATTCTGCCTGAGCTGGAATTTGAGACCATGACCTCATCTCTTTCTTTCCTATTTCTGAAGCACAATTAAGAGCAATGAGGAAATATCACTATATTCCTTAGTTTGAGAAATATGTCCCAAAGTAACAGATTCATGGTCACCTAAAGTCATGCCCTCTATAGGTATTTGATAGGATTATCCAATACGATATTTGACATGTATAACCACATCATGCCTTTGATGGCCAGTGCTCTATATTACACAGAGAATACAGTCAATAGTGCCTTTAAACTCAGTAAGATTAGAAACCCAATTCCAGAAAACACAGAATCAATTGAGAAAATTTACTCTTATAATTTTCTTCTTGTAGAAATACTTCTGAAATAAAATATCTCTTGGTCAGTGTTCAACCAGAAAGACACAATCAGTAGGACATAGACAAGAGATTTATTGCAAGGAACTCTGCCACTGTAGACTGGCTAAGCAATTCCAAAATGCATATGGCTGGCCACCAGGAAGGCCAAGATGGAATTCTAACCCTTCAGAGGAAGATGTTACCAACAGGTACAATAATTTCTTCATTCAGATAAGTTTCAGCTTTACTCTTAAGAACTTTCAACTGCTTGAACAGGCCCACCCAGATTACCTAGCATAATATGTCTACTCAATGCCGAGTGATTATGGAGTGAATATCTATGAAAAACCCTCACAACACTTATATTAATGTCTGATTAGATAACTAGGGATTGTAGTCTAGGCATATTGCCATTAAAATCGATTATCACACTGATCTTCATCAGCAGAAAACTGTTTAAGGGAAAAATAGTACATCAGAATACTACAGGCATTAGAAATTATGATGGAGTCCAATTTATTTTTTAAAAAACCATTTAACATTAGCTTCAAATTGGAACAATCCCATTAGAAACTTTTGTTCCGTGTTTTGTACAAGTATATACAATTGTTACCTATATGCAGATACGCTATAGCATGCTTACCGACATATTCATTCTAGCGACTTTCTACTATCTTCCATTTTCTTCTTTACACTTTTCTGTACTAACGTACTTGTTTTCAATGTCCAGGCGTTATTCTTGCAAGTAAAAGAATATCGAAGTATTTTTACTATGAAAATTAAATACAACAATAAAACTACTAAGTTCATATCACAGTGTGTCAAAAAACCCAACAGATGTTGTGGCATTGGACTGAAATCCTTAAATGGATCTCCTACTGCTATAGTCAGACTTTTTTTTTTTTTTTGAGACTGAGTCTCACTGTGTTGCCCAGGCTAGAGTGCCGTGGCGTCAGCCTAGCTCACAGCAACCTCTAACTCCTGGGCTCAAGCAATCCTCCTGCCTCAGCCTCCCAAGTAGCTGGGACTACAGGCATGCGCCACCATGCCCAGCTAATTTTTTCTATGTTTTTAGTTGTCCGATTAATTTCTTTCTATTTTTAGTAGAAACGGGGTCTCGCTCTTGCTCAGGGTGGTTTCAAACTCCTGAGCTCAAACAATCCGCCTGCCTCGGCCTTCCAGAGTGCTAGGATTACAGGCGTGAGCCACCGCGCCCGGCCTATAGCCAGACTTTGATAACTTGGGAAGTCTCCCTCTTTTTTCAAACACAGAGAAAGGCTGATACTAAAGCCCTTCCCACATTTCCTAACATTTGTATAGTTTTTGTCCTGTATGGAATCTCTGATGGAAATGAACTTGTAAATAATGACTGAATCTCTTCTCATACTCATTTGACTGGTTTTTCTCGACTGTGTAGTCTTTGATGCTTCAAAAGACATGAGGCCCAGCTAAAGCTCTTCCCACATTCCTTACAATTGTAGGGTCTCTCCCCTCGGTGGACCCTCTGGTGCATTTCAAGATTAAACTTACTGTTATAGCCCTTCCCACACTCCTCACATTTGTGTATCTTTTTTCCAGTGTGGATTGTCTGATGGGAATGAAGTTGTGAACTCTGAGTAAATCTCTTCCCACAGTCTTCGCATTTGAATGGTTTCTCCCCACTGTGGAGTCTCTGATGTTTCAAAAGACATGAGGCCCAGCCAAAGCTCTTCCCACATTCCTTACACTTATAGGGTCTCTCCCCTGTGTGGACCCTCTGGTGAAACTCAAGATCCAAGCTCCTTTTGTAGCCCTTCCCACACTCTGCACATTTGTATGGCTTTTCTCCATTGTGGGCTCTCTGATGGGAATAGCGCTGCGAATTTGTATAAAATCCCTTCCCACATTCTTCACATTTAAACGGTTTTTCTCCACTGTGGACTCGTTCATGGATCAAAAGACATGAGGACCATCTGAAGCTCTTCCCACATTCTTTACAACTATATGGTTTCTCTCCCGTGTGGACCATCTGATGCTTATGAAAAGCTCCCCTGCAAATGAAGCCTTTTCCACACTGCTCACATTTATATGGTTTCTCTACTATGTGAACCATGCAGTGACTATTAAGTGCTGTTCTTTGACGAAAGCTCTTACCGCATGTATCACATCGGAATGGTTTCTCTCCTGTGTGAACCATGGAGTGCCTATTAAGTCTCGACCTAACACGGAAGTTCTTACCACATATCTCACATCTGAATGGTTTCTCCCCAGTATGGATTCTCTGATGTTCCTGAAGCTGGGAATCATGAATGAAGCCCCTCCCACATTCCTTACAATTATAAGGTTTCTCTCCGGTGTGTAATCTGCAATGAACATTAAGTGATGATCTACGACTGAAGCCTTTCCCACATTGCTCACATTTGAATGGTTTCTCTCCAGTGTGGACTGTCTGATGAGTTTTCAGATGTGAGCTCTGACTGAATTCCTTACCACAGACATCGCACTTATAGCGTTTCTCTCCCATGTGGACTCTCTGATGAATCTGAAGAGCTGAGCTATAGCAGAAGCTTTTTCCACACTCATCACATGTGTGAGACTTCTCTCTCGAGTGTAATTGTTGATGAAGCTCAAAGTCGGAGACATCATTGAAGGACTGTTTACACTCATTACATTGCAAAGGTTTCTCTTTGTCAGTTAGAGATGGTCCTGCCTCAACCTCACGTGGGAAATCACTTTGTTTGGACAACTGAGAGCTATTTACCATGGAGTCCTGAGACCTGGTTAAGTCATCTGCAATTTGTTCCCAGATTTGCAGGCAGGACAGTTCTTCATGTGGTCCTGCTTCTGGAACAGTCTCCATCTCAGTTTGGACCTTGCCTCCTGTCAGAACACAGAATTAAGAGATGTGAACAAGTGAAGCCTTTGTTCAGTGTTACCAAGATTTCAAACTAAAGACATGGCACTAAACTTTAATAAACACAGGGAACATTCATTTTGTGTTTTTTAAGTGCACTATGGTCTGTGGTTTGCATGAGACGAATTTAGAGCCACACTAAATCTCACGTCAAAGCCTTCAGAAATAGAGACTTAATAGAAAAATTAATATGATACATACAATTTAACCTGTTACTATTTCTAGTGAATTTCCTAGTCAGTCTAAAATCTTCCATGAGAAATTACAAAACTAGTTAACAGTGTATACATAATAAAATATGAATCAAAAGAACTTTAAGGAAAAGTAATAACATAATCAATACTTGCTATATTTGCATTTATATTGTATACCTTTCTAAAGAAATTAAGCTAGCTAAGAAAGCAGTGTGGACTTTGTCCTCAACATCTGAGGGATAATCTCTAGGATCTTGAAGTGTCATGCCTGAGAAGAGTATTTTTTTTTCTTTGGGCACAAACAGTGGGTTACTCTGGATAGTAAAAAAATATGATTTAGGGTTATGGCTGGCTGCTCCTTTGGTCAGGAGCTGGGGGGTTGCTCATGTCAGAAAGAACAACAATGAGATTTAAGGTAGAGACTGATTTACCACATGGGACTTAACCAATAATGGCTGTAATGGAGCCCAGTAAATATTCTGCATACAAGGGCCAGGTGAGCTTTCTGATTGGCAGTATTCTTGTGTTTAAATCAACTTTAATCACTGGACTGTAATGCATCCTGACTCTATGGGAAGAGTATAATAGAAGGTCCTCACGGCCAGGCGTGGTGGCTCGCGCCTATGATGCTAGCACTCTGGGAGGCCGAGGCAGGTGGATCATTTGAGCTCAGGAGTTCGAGACCAGCCTGAGCAAGTGTGAGATCCCATCTCTACTAAAAAAATAGAAAGAAATTAGCTGGACAACTAAGAATACATACAAAAAATCAGCTGGACATGGTGGCGCATGCCTGTAGTTCCAGTTACTCGGGAGGCTTAGGCAGGAAGATCACTTGAGCCTAGGAGTTAGAGGTTGCTGTGAGCTAGGCTGATGCCACAGCACTCTAGCCTGGACACCGGGCAACAGAGTGAGACTCTGTAAAAAAAAAAAAAAAAGAAGGTCCTCACATTTGGTACATCCCTGGACTCTATCTTATTTTATTTTTTTTCTTGGCTAACTGTAATATGCATGTTTTCCCTGTAAAAATCCATATCCATAAGTGTAAAAGCATTTAGTGAGTTCTGGGAGTCTTTTTAGTGAATTACTGAACATGTAGGTAGTTTTGAAAAACTTCCAACTTTGCAGTTGTTGTGATTTAAGAGCAGTCTTTTATACTGTCCCTTTAAACTTTGTAACTGGTTAAACTCTTCATAATGCTCAATATCAAACACCTAGGAGTGTTTATATCTACATATTCAAATATTCTTGCATAGGAATTTTGTATAACATGTATAAAAACAAGTTAATCTTATTTTTCTGTGTTGACATGGACAATAACTTGGGTGGCTGAAACAGGAAAGGGACAGACAACTACAGTTTTGACAGGAAGCTGCAAGGCTGTATCTGGGAGAGGTACAAAGGAGGATGGTCCTGAAGAGACAATGAAAGGTGGCAAGAATCATTTGGAATGAAAAGAAAGCCTATGGTGTAGATGAACAGACCTTTATAAAAGTTTTTAAAATGAAGACTACAAACCATTAGTGAGCTGGAAAATAAAGTTAAAACCAGTAATAAGCATTTATAAAAAAGAACTAGAATAGAAATTATCGTAGCATCACGACAAGCAGGAAGGGTGTCATTACAAGAAATGCCTAGTGAAGTCACCCATCGACATCTATGCTCATGAAAAATGTTTGTCTGGGTTATAATAAAATATATTTCTTAGTGTGGTTCATGCTGATAAAACAGTCAAAATTTTGATCAGGATATTACCAAGTCCTGAATGAAATGAATCATTCAACTGGAAAGTTAACTTCAAATGGTTGAATCTTGGAAAATATTAATTGGTAAGTGTGTACCTATTGGTACCCACTGGAACATGGACATATTTAAGACATTGTACTTTACAAATAAGAGGTTTTTGGGGAGAAGGGAGAGTCTCTTTCTGGATACGTGTATTTTGAGAGGGCAGTTTCCCAATTACTTCCAGGTCATAAAATTCACCAGTCCAACATACAGCACTAAGTCTTTACAAAAATAAAAACTGTGTAGTCTATATTCATTAATGTTTTTAACAATTAAATTTGTATAAAATAAAAATGCAGAAATATGTATATTTGAAGAAAGATGATCCAAAACATACTCAACGTTCAGCTGTGTGACTTGTGTCACCCTCATCCACATTCTTTCCTCTCTAGGAAAAGGAAAAACCTGGGGACAATGGCATGCATATAGAATTGGGAACAGGCAAAGGGGTTGCAGATGAGTAAACGTTTCAAAGGAAATGCAGCCGGAAATCAGGAAATTGAGATTTCATTCTCCACATGTAGGGAAGCTGTCTGAGAAATCCTCACTCAGTAAGGATTTCCTCCCAGAAATGAATATGCTCCCTACCGAAAGCTACAGAGTAAGGCACAGGGGAGGCATGTTACTCAGTGTGGTCACGAAAAGAATGCTTAGAACTTTCCATGGGAAGTGAGTCAACTGCATACACACAAAACACAATCATCTCAAAGGAAGCCAAGCAAGCTGAAATTGGACAGCCAGCCATCTGGAGACAAAAAAAAATGTTCTGCGATATACAATTGGCCCTCTGTATATGTGGGTTTTGAATCCGTGGATTTGACTAACAGCGAATCAACAATATTTGGAAAAAAAAATATTTCACAAAATTCCAAAAAGCAAAACTTGAATTATCTGCACTCCAGAGTACTGTGTTGAATCTATATAAATTAAGTGATATGTAGACACTGCATTTGTTATTATGAATAATTTAGAGACAATTTAAAGTACATGGGAGGATGTGCTTAGGTTATATCCAAATACTTCACATATATAAGGGACTTGAACACCCTTGGACTTTGGTATCTGTGGGGAGTCCTAGAACCAAAAGCCCACGATTACTGTGGGAAGAATATATTTCACGTACGCTGATTTGTGTATCATTTACTAGCTATTGCCACGATTCCTGCAGACAGCGAAGTCCCCACATACATTAACTCATTCATCCCGATAACAAATATAGACACCTGCCATGTACCGGGAGTAGTGTAGGCACTAAAGACACAGCCATATACAAAACAGGTAAACTCCTGCTTCTGGAGATTACACGGCAATAAGGAGGGGTGATCAGTAGACAAAAATATATGAGAAACAATGTATGCAGGCTGAGAAGAGTAAAGATAGAATGCTATTTTAAACACAGCTGTTGGAGATGGCCTCTGTCATATTAAAGGTGAGCAAGATCTAAATAAACAAAAGGGGCCAGAAGGTTTTGAGGGGAAAGGGCACTCCAGTCAGAGAGAAGAGGAGAATCAAGAGCTCTGAGGCAAAAGCTTTTGTAGTACACAAAATAGTGTTTCCTGAAAGATGTCCACACCCAACCTCCAGGACTTATGAATGTTATGTTACACAGCAAGGAGAATTAAGGTTGCAGATGCAATTAAGGTCACTTGTCAGCTAACTAGAAAACAGGAAAATCTTCCCGAGTCACTCGGGAGTGACCAACACAATCACAAAGGACGCGAAAGGTGGAAGATGGAGGCATACGCAGAGAGGCGCAGGGAGCACGACTGCGGAAGAATGGTCAGAGATGCAAAGTTGCTGCCTTTGAAGATGGAGGAAGGGAAATGAGAGCCAAGGAGTGTGGACAGTAGGTAGACAATGATAAAAGTGAAGGTTACTTCTCAAGAGCACAGCAAAAGAACAAAGCCCTACAGACACCCTACGGGACTGTTGCCCAGTAAGATACGTCAGACTTCAGGCCTAAAGAATAGAAAGATAATAAATGCTTGTTGTTGAATCCACCAAGTTTGTGGTAACTGGTTACCAAAAACAGGCAATACAATGTCCTTGGCAGGACTGAGAAACAGCAGGGAGGACAATGCAGCTGGAAATGACAGAGCAAGAGGGAGAGGACAGGAGGTGTAGCAGTCAGAGAGGCAGTGGGGGCAAAGAGCAGAGCACAGGGTCTCTAAAAGCCACTTAAAGAGGTTGTAACATTAATAAAAATAAGAAGCCACAAAACCTGTTGGGCAGAGGAATGGCAATCTGACTTGTACTGCTCAGGGATCACTTTGGCTGCTATGAAGGGAACAGATGCCACAGTGGAAAGGGTGGGAGCAGGGCAACCAGCCACAGAAGGCGGTTTTATTAATCCAGGAAAGAGGTTTGGCAATTTCCCAGAGCAAGGGAAACGGGCAGGACAGAAGTAAACAGATGGGAGAGTGATGTACAAGGACACACACAGTGGCTTTGTTCTTACCTGAATTCCCTTCTCTACGGGTTGATGTCCTCATCATCCAAAACTTTTCTTCTCTTAGAAAGTGAAACGCATCGCGGTGAAATGGTTGATGCCCTGTGAACATGCAAAGTCACATGTTTAATCCCAACACATTCTAGGTAAAATTGACTGGGAATTTAGGTTCCCACTGCATACTCAAACTTAAACATCCAAGGATACAAAGTCACTTTTGGGACCTAATGTTCCATTACAAAGGGAGGCTGTCCTCACCCACTGACAGCAGGTTCCTGAAGTTCTCCAGCATCACATCTCGGTACAGCTCCCTCTGGGCAGAGTCCAGCAGCCCCAGCTCCTCCTCCGTGAAGACCACAGCCACGTCCTTGAACGTCACTGCCTCCTACAACATATACATATACAACCTCAGTGTCATGACCAATGATTACTGGGAGAGCAGTGGCACTGAGCAGGCAGAGAGGACAGGTGGGAAGTTGTTCTGGATGTTGAGAAATGTAGGTCAACTCACAGATTTCCCACTCATTCTATCTCTACCCTGAGAACAACACACATTGATTTTCCTAAGCTCCCCTAGAAGCGCAACAACGAAGGAGAAGTCCTGTACTTTTACACTGGGCAATCATTGAGTCTGCTTGTAAGCAACCCTATCAGACTCTAAATGCTGTATCCTGGGCTACCTGTAATTAGATTTCAATGAATCTTGCTAAACACCCAAGCAACATTTAGCAATTCAGTCCCAACCTGCTTGATAATGCCCAATGTCCCCTTCTCTCAAATTTGAACCCTGGATGCTATCATTTTTCTTTAATATCCACAAACTAACAGGCTTATGGTGATCTGTGTGGGACAGCTATGCAGTGGGTCCTCTGTACTCCCAAGGCACAAACTGCATACATTAACGGCAGCATTCAATGTCATGATATGGAACCAACGTGCCTCAGAGCAAATCCCAAGGCTCTTTCCCTTCCCAGTCATGGGACCTTGGACAAGTTCACCTATATGCATTAGTTCCTTCTCTGTATAACAATTCTAACCTGACACAGTTTTTTCAAGGATTAAACAATAGACTATATATAGCATTGGGAAAAGTGTGTGGCACAGATTAAGTACTAATAAACATTAGCTATTTTTATATTATTTTTTATTATAACTGTCATTATTGTTATCTATTTCACCTTATTTCATGTCTGTATAGTATTCCAAGGAACAGATGAACTCTTTTTATCTATTATAAATAATGAATACTTTATTTTACATCTTTATTACCAAACCTGCAAAGAGAATAATTTTATGTAGATCTTACTCTCCTGTCTGATTATTTAAAATAATTTCAAATCAAAATTATAACGTCAAAAAATAAGTACATTTAAATTATGTCCATATATAATTCCATGCTGTCTTTCCAAGTTTTTATCTACCTCCTTAATTTTTCAAGAGTCCAAGTATCTCTTCATGATTACAAAGAGCAGGTTGTAAATATTCCCATGCTTCTGGGAAATGGATTAGGAAAAACAATTCATCTTATTATTCTCACTTACTTGGTTATATTAATTAATGAATACCATCACTTTCAAGTTTATTGGCCATCTCTAGTTCTCCTTTTTCACTTGTCTTTTAGTGTACTTTGTTCCTATTATGTTTGGACTTTTTTCTTTATTCTGTGCAGAAGATTGCTATTTTGATTTTATCTTCCTTAGGTATCCATGTAAGAAACATTTTTGTCCCAGGTCATTATTTTTTTTCTGGTAACACTGGTGTAAGGCATCTGTTGCTATTAAGAAATTTAAAGATTTTCTATAACAACTATGGTAATCACTGTCCTTGGGTACCCGGAGTGCTGGGTGCACTTGAGTAGGTGACACGTCAGGAAGAGAGGAGGTCACCCCTAGGCAGGGACAGGGAGGAGCTGTGCCACCTGTGAATGTCGTCTCTCAACAGGGCACTCCAAACACCCACACCACAGAGCAGAGGTCCCTTAACGAAGAATCCTCTCTCTTTTCCACTTGAGCAGAATGGCTAACATTGCTAACCTTTGGCTTCCTGTCTGAACCTGGTGGGTTTCTCCTATTTCCCATGTTTAAGAAGAAGAAGAGACAAAGAAACTCATCATTCTGCTGCTTTGAGGAATAAATGCAGGAACAGAATACACTGACTGGCAAATCTTCTAGTGCCACTGGACATTTTAAATGAAGGCTCCCTACTACTTTGGTCAAACTGCTCACTACATAAAGGAATAAGAAGAGATCAGTAAATAAAATACATATAAGGTATGACTGAGGCATGGAGAAAACAGAATCTAGCCCTGCCTGTGTGAAAACTCCAATAATATTTGTGTGAAGAAGCAGTTACAGCCTGTTGTGCTGTGCCTGTTGGAAAATTCTATCTACAAAGCAGCTGATGTGGAACTTGTCAAAAGTACTCCAATGTTTCCAGAATTAATTTGGGGGAAAAATGTTGTCTATAGGAAAGCTATCACTGCAGTGTTGCTTACAACAGTAAAACTCCTGAACCACCCGATTATCTAAGAGTGTGAGGTAGTTAAAAATAAAAAGGTACCAGATGCTTCACAGTATTAAAATACAAAGGGCCATACTTGGAGAAAATATTATCATCATCATATTTAATAATCAACACTTAGAACATCTAGAGAGTACTTAAAAATACATAAGAAACATATTAATATAATAACCCCAGTGGAGAAATAGTCTTGAATATGAATGAAAAGTTGTCAAAAGAAGAAATATAAATGACTAGACCCTGCCAACTTTGACCACTTGACCTAACATTTCTAACGTTCTTAAAAATCTAATAAAAAGTAAAGGTGGTCTTTACAGCATTGTAGTAATGAAAAGATGGAGTCATGTCTGTTGTGAGGGCAATGGTTAATTTAAGATACATGCATTCTTTGGACTACCA